CATGCAGGGCCCCGGAGTGCAGGGGAGCAGTGCTCTTGGAGGGCCGCTTCCTGAGTACCTATGCCTGTGTGTGTTCCCACACTATAGAATGAAAATAAATCCTGTTTTGAGAAAATTTGGGGGTGAGATGGGGAATTGTCCTCTAGAGACAGAAAAGTGAGACAGATGGAATGTAGCAAGAGGAGGGGCAGAAACTTCCAGGAGGGGCCCCTGGATGGGTGATCCTGACTGACTCATGATCCTGCCGGACTGAGCAGATGGGTAACTTGGGTGCCTGCCCCTTCCTTGCTTATATCATCCCCCCTTAGCTGCCATCCTTTTTCTGGAAATGTCAGTCATGATTACTGAAATGGCGCAATGAGTTTCAGACACCCTAAGGTCCTGGCTGGAGCCTTGGTGCCCTCATCTGTAAAATGAGTGGGTTGAATTAAGGATACATACTCTTCTACACTTTTATGATCTAAGTTATTCTTGCCAAAGGTGAGGTGTCTTACCTTGATTTTTCTCGAAAGTGTCATGGAAGTATGTTGGGCAGCTTGAGAGAGGAGACAAAGTGTCATTGTTCCAGTATTCTTGTCCGGTCCACTTTCACTCAACAAGTGTGGAAGCTGAGGCCAGGCAAGGGGGCGATGGGGAGCGCAGGACTCAAGGCACCTTCAGGGCGGGAGGCTTCCCTGCGTTAAACCAGCCCTGAGTCTCAGACTTCTTCTGGCTGAATCATTTCGGTTTCATCCTGTATCTGTTCCAGAGTCTGAGCCCCTTCTTTCTCTTGGTTTTCTCTTTAATTTAATTTTTATTTTTAAAAAATCTTTATTGTTGCCCTGGCCGGTTTGGCTCAGCGGTTAGAGCGTCGGCCTGCGGTCCTGAGAGACCCGGGTTCGGTTCCCGCTAAGGGCGTGTACCTCGGTTGCAGTTTGTCCCCGGCCCTGGTCGGTTGTGCGGGTGGCAGCCACTCGATGTGTCCCTTCACATCGATGTTTCTCTCTCTCTCTCTGTTCCTCTCTCTCCCCCCACACTCTACCTGAACAAAAAATAGAAAAATGTCCTCGGGTGAGGACAAAAAAAAAAAAAAAAAAATCTTTATTGTTGAATGTATTACAGATGTTGCTCATTTTTCCCCCATTGACCCCCTTCTCCCCATTCCTGCCCCCCTCCTGCCTTTCTCCACACTGTTGTCTGTGTCCATTGGTTATACATATATGCACATAAGTTCTTTGGTTTATTTCTTCCCATACCCCAACCCCCCTTCCCTTTGAGATTTGTCAGTCTAGTAACCAATTGGTAGTTCTTAATCCCTTCACCTTTTTCACCCATCCCCCTTTCCCCCCCTTCCATCTGGCAACCAACAAAATGTTCTCTGTATCTATGAGAATGTTTCTGTTCTGCTTGTTCATTTTGTTTGTAGATTCCATTGTCAATAGATATGTATTCATTGCCATTTTGTTTGTTCATATTTTTTATCTTTTTCTTCAAGAAGACCCCTCAACATTTCATATAATAATGGTTCGGTGCTCGTGAACTCCTTTAGCTTTTCCTTGTCTGGGAAACTCTCTATATGGCCATTGATTCTAAATGACAGCTTCGCAGGATAGAGTACTCTTGGTTGTAGGTTCTTGCTTTCATCACTCTGAATATTTCTTGCCACTCCCTTCTGGCCTGCAAAGTTTCTTTTGAGAAATCAGCTGACAGTCTTATGAAAACTCACTTGTAGGTAACTATCTGCTTTTCTCATGCTGCTTGTAAGATTCTCTTTTTGTCTTGAACCTTTTGCATTTTGATGATGATGTGTCTTGGTGTGGGCCTCTTGGGGTTCATCTTGTTCGGGACTCTCTGTGCTTCCTGGACTTGTATGTCTGTTTCCTTCACCAAGTTAGGGAAGTTTTCTGCCATTATTGTTTCAAATAGGTTTTTGATTTCTTGTTCTCTCTCTTCTCCTTCTGGCATGCCCAAGATGCGAATGTTGGCATGCTTGAAGTTGTCCCAAAGGCTCCTACACTATCCTCATTTATTGGATTATTTTTCTTTTTGCTGTTCTGATTGGGTGTTCTTTGCTTCCTTATATTCCAAATCAATGGTTTGCTTCTTGGCTTTACCTACTCTACTATTGAATCTGTGTAAATTATTCTTTATTTCAGTTAGTGCCTCCTTCATCTCTGACTGCATCCTTAATTTCTGACTGGTTCTTTTTTATGCTCTTGAGGCCCTCACTAAGTTCGCTGAGGTTCTCACTAAGTTCATTGAGCACCCTTAGAAGCAGTGTTTTGAACTCAGCATCTGTTAGGTTGTTTATCTCCATTTTGCTTAGTTCTTTTCTTGGGGTTTTGTTCTGTTCTTTCATTTGGGACCTGTTTCTTTGTCTCCTCATTTTGGCTGCCTCCCTGTGTTTGTTTCTGTGTATTGCTTAACGAGAGGTATGGGACTAGCTGAGACCAGATGCTGCTTGTTTGAGAGAATTTAGGAAAACCTGAAGCAGGATCCAAGACAGGCCAATCCTATGGTTAAACAACTGGCAACAGCTTGGGTGGGCCTGAAAGTTGGGGGCGGGGCCTCAGGGAATCACCAGGGTGGGGCCAACAGTGTGAGCCAGGTTGCTGGCGTCCCAGATATGGGGACTGTCTGCTGCCCCAGGGAAGGGCTCACCAAAGGAACAAAGGCCTCTGACAGCACATTTGTCCTGGAGAAAACCCCCTCTCCAGCCCTCGCTCCAGTGCCAAACAGCTCAGTCCTTCCCTGTATGTCTCTGGGGCCCCTCGAGCAGCCTCCCCTCAGAGCTTAGAGGGAGAGAGTCCGATAAGTCCATGCGCGGGCCCTTTAAGGAGCTGCCTGGGGCTCCAGCCGTGTCAGCCTCCCTGAGCCTCAGTTCCCGCTGGTTTTCCAGCCAGAAGTGATGAGGATTCTCTTCCTGGCACTGGGACCCTGAGCGGGGCACCTGGTGTGGGATGGGGACCCCTCACTCCTCAGGGAGGACCTTCCCAGCCGAGGTGTCCTCCTGATTTTTATCCCTACACGTGGGTGTGGGACCAGCCTGTCCCCTCTGCCCTCCTACCAGTCTGGATGCGGCTGCTGTTTTAATTCCGTAGTTGTAGGACTTCCATTCAGCTCGATTTCAGGCAGCTTTGAATGAGGGTTGTTCTGTAGTTTAGTTGTAACTTTGATGTGGTTGTGGGAGGATGCGATACCGCGTTTTCCTACGCCGCCATCCTGACCAGAAGTCCTCTTAGTGGGTTTTTCTGCCACCATTTTCTTAGAATTTACTGCCCCCATCCCACCTTTCTCTCTCGCTCAAATTTTCATTTCTAAAAATGTCAGGGCCTTTCCCCAGCCTTATTGTGTCTGAGGTCTTCGGGGCTGTCACCTCTAGGTGACATCGCAGCTCACATTCTTCACCCCCAGGCCCCAAGCCCCACCACGCTGGCCCGGCCAGAGCCACCAGCAGCCCCTGTTGCCAGACCTGGGGGCCTTCTCCTTTCTTACCTCACTCGCTGTCCAGCAGCCCATGCTGCTCACACCCCTCTCCCTCCTCTCAGCCCCCCAGGCCCTGCTGCGGCATTTCGTCCGCCTCACCCCGCTGTCTTTCTCCTCCCGCTTCACGCGGCCCCGGGGTCTCATCCAGCTCCTCCGCGATCGTTCCCACGCCCACCCCGCCTTCCCTCCTGAGGTCAGCCCCGCACACCCACCGCCCCCCGCAGCCCTCGACCCCTCTCCCCAAAGTAACATCATCACAGCACAGCGATGGGCGAGCCAGTGGGTAAAGCTCTCACACACCTACCTAGTCACCTTCCCAGCGACAGCCGACGGCACATACTTTTATCATCATCTCGATTTTGCAGATGAGGAAGTTGAGGGCAGAGATGTTGAAAGAATCCAAGCTCTTAAACACCGTGTTTTGGTGTTCTCAAAACCAAGGTTGGCCCAGCCCACCCCTCCTCCCCTCCTCCACTGCTCTTTGGCTCGGGGACCATCACCACTGTCCTCCCTTCAGCCACCAGTCACCTTCCAGTCCAGCCCGATGGCCACCAGCTCACTCCCCAGGTCCCCATGGTCTCCCTCTTGACTGAGCTGTCTCTAGCTATTTCCCAATGAAACCATGCCTCATTAACCCCTCTTGCTAGCTCCCTAAAATATAAATGTGAAGATCAATGCTCCCCTCTTCCCTCAGCCCTAAGTCCCAATCACATGCCTTAAGGGAGCTCTCCGGGCGGGGGCCTGCTTCCCCGCCTCTCCTCCCCCATGGTGCTGACCTCATTCTTGTTGCTTCCCACCACCCACTCTCTAGTTTCCGTCACTAATTTCCCCAAAGTCCCTCTTGTCTCACTGCCTCTTCCACACTTGACCATCTCTTCTGAAACACACTCCCCTGCGGTCAGGTGCCTTCGGGAGTGTGCCTCCTCCAGAATACCTTCCCCAGTCTGCCCTCCCAGCCTGGGTAAGGTGCTCCATGGTCACTGAATTTCCCCTCATAGCAAAGTCATGCTGTTTACACATTCGCCTTACCCACTGACCCTGGGCCTTGTGGTTTGTGTTTTCTTCCCCTGCTAACAGAGGGCATGCAAAATCAGTTTCAACTTAGGCTTGTTGAATACATGGTGAGTAAATGAGTGAACACCGGCTGTACTCTTTCTAGGACCCAGGTGCTTGACTCTTTGGCCCAGAGGCCTCCAGGCCAGAAGTGGAGGGTTCCCACCAGAATCTCCATTTGGGCCCTGACCCCACCCTGACAAATGCCCCTTTCCTCTCTCCAGGCTAACTGAAGTTTGAAGGTCAAGGAGAACCTTCAGCCAGCACAACAAGGGAGATCGGAGAGGCGGGGCAGGGCAGGGGACTGGCATTCACACAGGTCTAGATTGACAAGGCAGGAGAAGCAACTCAAGGTAGCTCTGGTCAGAGACTCCTGGGTGAGAGTGTGTGGGCTGTCCTGGCCCCTTTCTCTCTTCTCTTAGTCATATTCTCCGCCCTCCACTTCTGAGTCATTGTGACAACTTCCCCCTCTGTCTCCTGCCTCTTGATCACTTCTGTGCTCATTTGCTCCCTTGGTGCCTTGGAACACCTAGCCGCTGGTGGCTCAGGAGCCTGGAAGCCCATGTCTGACCTCACAGTCATGACCAGGACCAGGAGGACACCCCTTCTCCTACTGATGAGTAAGATGGGGGCCCCGATGAAGGGGGAGGAGGGGTTTGGGGTCCAGGTAGGGAACGAGCTGAGAATGCATATGTTCTGGGCTCAGACATTAGAAGAGGGATCTAGGGTTTGAGATCTGGAGTTAATGGAGAGAGAGGAGATTGAGGAACCAGTCTGGATGGAGTTTAATGATGCCGGGATAGGCCCATTTCCTGGACAATCCAGAGATTTCTCACGTAGGCAGAACTAGTTAACTTTGTGCTCTGTTTACATTGCCCTTTGTCCCCAAGTTTCCCTGGACTTTCCTTTTGAGGAGCCCCCAAGGTGAGGTGGAGAAGGCCCATCTTTAGAACTGGGGGTTTCTTGGAGAATTGAAACTTGCCAGCAGGCCGTTGGGTAAAGAGCTGTCTCTGGACCATGTGAAAGAAAGCAGCTGAGGCAGGCCCAAGCCGGGCGTCCAGAAGACCAGGAGGTGCTGGGGCACTGGGCTTGGCAGGGAGATTGGGGTCAGGCCTGGGGAGATGGAGCAGGAGGAAGAGCCTCTCCAAAGCTTCTCTCTTCACCCTCTTCCCCAGCCTTGGCTTCCTGTCTCTGCTTCAACTTGGACACGGACAAGCCAACAATCTTCCCCATGGATAGTGCTGGGTTTGGACACAGTGTGGCCCAGTACGCCAACTCCTGGTGAGGACCAGCCTTTGGCTCTTATCAGTTCCTCTCCCTGCACAGGGCTCTCTGTTCCTCCCCACCCCCCACTTGAACTACAAGCTCTCCTTTCCCTTTGACAAGGCAATGCCCTCAAGGTTATGTAGAGTCGAAGTGCAAGTGGATGCTGTCTTGCCATGTCGATGATCACAGCTAACGCTCATTGAGTACTTACCAGGTACCCATTACATGGGTACTGATTTAGTCCTCAATTCAACAATTATTGAGCACTTACTGTATGTCTCAGGCATACACCAGAGAATAAAACAGACAAAAATCCCTCCCATGCAGAACTTAAATTGTTATTAATCTACAGATGAAGAAACGCAGCTACAGAGAGCTGAAGCAAACTTGCTGGAGTGGCAAGTCTGGCTTTAGTGTCCACTCTTCTTTTTTAAAATTTCATATTCGTTTTGGGTGTACATCACAGTCGTTAGAAAACTTTATAATTTACAAAGTGACTCCCCCCTCCCCCGATAATTCTAGTGCCCACATGGCACCACACATAGTTATTACAATCCCACTGACTAAATTCCTTGTGTCCATCCCATGACTGTTCTGTAACTTCTCACTCCCCTCACCTTTTTCCCCAGACCCCTCACCCTGTCCCTCCTGGCAACCTTCAGTCTGCCCGCTGTGTCTGTGAGTCTGTTTCCGTTTGGTTCGTTTGTGTATTTTGTCCTTTAGTTTCCTCACATAAGTGACATCACACGGTGTTCATCTTCCTGTTTGTATTGGCCACCCTCTTTTTAAAATTTTTTTATCCTCACCCGAAGACATTTTTGCATTTATCTTCAGACAGAGCGGGAGGGAGAGAGGGTGGAAGAGAGAGAGAAACATCGACGTGAAAGGGACACATCGAGTGGCTGCCACCCACACGACTCCAAATGGGGCCAGGGACAAACTGCAACCGAGGTACGTGCCCTTAGCGGGAACCAAACCCGGGACTTTCTGGTCCGTGGGCCGATGCTCTAACCACTGAGCAAAACTAGCCAGGGCGTATTGTCCACACTCTTAACTGCAGTGTTCGTTGTCTCCCCCTAGGGTGGTGGTTGGAGCCCCCCAGGAGATAACGGCTGCCAACCAAACAGGCGGTCTCTACCGGTGTGACTACAGCCTGGGCACCTGTGAGCCCATCCCCCTGCAGGGTGAGTCCCTGCCCTCCCCGGGACTCAGGTCCAGACTTCCATGCTCTGTGGGGTCTGTGGGGAGCACAGGAAACCCATTTTCTAGCTTCATTTCTGTCTGCAAACCCTCATTCTCGGACAGGCTTTCTGACCCCCAGAGGCCTCCCCACCCATTGCTCCCTGCACTCCTGTAGCTCCAGCAAGAGCTGGGGGCCGCTTTCGTGCTTCAGACCCCTTGTCTCCCAGGGATGAGGTGACCCCTGCCCCGATTGTACATAACCTCCTCTGTCCTGAGGGTGACCATGTGCATGTCGGTCCCCTCAGTGCCCCCAGAGGCTGTGAACATGTCCCTGGGCCTATCCCTGACAGCTGCCACCAAACCATCTCAGCTGCTGGTGAGTTGCCCCGGGTCACAGGAGCATCCTGAGGGAAGGAGTGGGGACTGGGGCTGCTGGAGCCGGGGCTCTTGTGAAGGATGGAGATGCTGGGATGGGAGGGTGCGACAGAGGCAGGGCAGCCCCTCCCAACACCCCCTCTGTCCCCAGGCCTGCGGCCCCACTGTGCACCACGCATGCAAGGAGAACATGCACTTGACCGGGTTCTGCTTCCTGTGGGTTTCCCCTTCCTGGCAGGCCCGGAGGCTCCCAGATGCCCTGCAGGGTGAGTGCTTGGGCACTGGCTCTTCTGAGGAGCCCGCACACATCGGACTGGAGGTGCAGTGGGCCAGAGACACTCTGACCAGAGTAGATCAGGAAGAGATCTGGAACAAAGTTTCCTGGATCGTGGAGTAGTTCAGACCCAGCGGGAGAGGGGCGGCCGCTCTGTGACGCCCACTGCAGGCCCTTCCTGCGGCCGCCCCTCGGAGCTGCTTCCTCATCTGTCGGTGGGTGTAGTGGCACACGCAGCACTGACAGTAACTTTGCATGTTCCACGGCAGGGTTTAGCACAGAGCCTGGCATGTGGTGAGGGCTCAGTTAGTGCCAACTGCTATCAGTTTTAGCGAGAAGGGGATTTATTTTCACCCAGTGTACCCTGGGGTCTGTATAACCAATTGGTTTGTGCAACAGGCTGGGAGAGGGTGAGAAGGGTGGACAGTCTAAATGTGTTCGTGCATAATGTGGATATTTGTGTATGCGTGAGTGTATGCGATGTGTGTATGATGTGTGTGTATGTGTATATATGTGTGTACATGTACAATGTGCGTGTATAACATGTGTGTATGTGTACAATGTATGTGTATGATGTGTGTATGTATGTGTGTATGGTGTGTGTGTGTGTACACACAAGTTGAGGCTTGGCCTGGTTTCTGGTGCTGATGGGAATAGGCCAAAAGGAGGTGGAACAGTGAGTTCTTCAGACCCCGCCCACAGCAGACCAAGGCCCCTCCCTGGTTTCACATTCACACTCAGGTCCTTTGGGAGCTTGACATGGGCACTGAATGAGGTGCCCCTTTCAGTACCTCCTGGGTCCTAAACTTGGCCCACATGCCCTTGGACTCCCTGAGAGCATCCAGGGTACCATTCTCTGGCGGGAGGCTGCCGGGCAGAGAGGGGAGGCTGAGAGTGGGGAGCGCCTCCTCTTCTGAGGAGAGTCTGTATTCACCGAGGAGGGAGTGGGGTCCTGTATTTAAGCTGAGAACCAAACAGGGCCAGTGTGTGGCTATCGCCAGGGGCGATATTAAAATATTTAACAAAAGTACAGTCTGGTGCTGACCAGTGAGGGGGCCCCGGCCAGGGACTGAAGCAGAGTGCAGCTGTTGTGGGGAGAGTGTGGTGCGCTCAAGGGGAGGGGGTGGACCTCTGAGGTAGAACGGGGGCAGCTTTCTACTGTCTGGACTGGAGGAACTTCCACTTTTTATCAACCAGGCTGGCTGCACGGGTGTGAGCTGCTGAATCGTAGATGCAGATGCTTAGAGACTTTAGAAGGCCCTGTTCTGGGCAAGGACCAGGGAAGCTCCTGGGGGGTGGTGAGTCATGTCATCTCGAGGCTCCAGGCTCTGGGGGCGTCCTTCAGAGGACTGTGCCACCTCCTTCCCAGAGTGCCCGAGGCAGGAGCAGGACATCGTCTTCCTGATTGACGGCTCAGGCAGCATCTCCCACAGCGATTTTATCCAGATGCTGAACTTCGTGAAGGCTGTGATGAGCCAGTTCCAGGGACCCAGCACCCAGGTGTGCCTGCGGGGCAGGGGGCAGGGGCAGGGCCCGCGGGGCGGCTTGCCGTGGCCTGGCACCAGCCCCACGCGCTTCTCCCAGTTCTCCCTGATGCAGTTCTCCAACACCTTCGTGGTTCACTTCACCTTCAAAGACTTCGCGCACAGCTCAAACCCAGTGGGCCTCCTGGATTCTGTGAAACAGCTGAGAGGGTACACTCATACAGCGACAGCCATCCAGATTGTCACGTGAGTCCTGACTTCTCCCAGGTCCTGGCCAGAGTGTCCAGTCTTCCTCTGGGCCTCGCCTGTTTCCATGAAGAAGGGACAGATGGGCCCAAACTCTGCCCACGGTTTCCTCACCAAGCTGGCGGCTCTGGGCAGGACCAGGTCCTCCCAGAGCAAGGGTCACCTCCTCACTCTTACGAAGGTGTCAGGGGCTGGCAGCAGCTCTCTTCAGGGGCCTCTGGACCCTCTTCTTCCCTGACAGGGTCCGCCTGTTCAGTGCCCAATATGGGGCCCGAAAGGACGCCTCCAAGATCCTCATCGTCATCACCGATGGAGAGAAGACAGGCGACCCCCTGAGTTACCGGGCTGTCACCCCCTTGGCCGATGCAGCGGGCATCATCCGCTATGCCGTCGGGGTAGGGTGGGGGATGCCCTCCCCCTGCTTCCTCTTAAGGCAACTTCCCTCTTTAGGAACAGAACCCTTTCAGCTTCCACTACATTCAGGATGGAAACTGTTCTAGCCTTTCCCCCAAACTCCGTGATGTTTTCTGATGTTTTATTACGGGTGTAATAATCTGGACCTCGCGGTGCTAGCGGAGGACTCAGTGCCCAGAACGTGGTAGGCACGTTGGATTTGTGATCGTTTCACTGAGCTGGTTTTTGGTTGGGAACAGGTGGGATCGGCTTTTCAAAAGGCACATTCCTGGAAAGAATTGCAGGACATCGCATCGAGACCCTCCCATGAGCATATATTTACAGTGGAGAACTTCGATGCTTTGAGAGACATTCAGAACCAGCTGAAGGAGAAGATCTTTGCCATTGAGGGTAAGTCAGAGATGGAGCTCCTCATTGCAGGACCCTCAGGCATTAGATGCCCTTCCTTCTTGAGCCTGGGTCCCCCTTTGGCCTGCAACATTAGCTCCTGTAAAAGCTGAGGTGTCCTAGACGTGGCAAAGTCTGTCTTCCCCCTGGAACCCGAGTGCCATGACTCCCCTCAGGAACACAGACCACAAGCAGCAGCTCCTTCGAATTGGAGATGTCCCAGGAGGGCTTCAGCGCTGTGTCCACGCCTGTGAGTGGGGGCCCTTTTGGGCCACTGATGCAGGATGAGGGACAGCAGGGGTTGGGGGAGGCGAAGGAGGGTCTCATGAGTGGGGCCGGCGGCTGGGGTTGCCTTGGAATTGCTGTCTCCTCGCTCTCCCTGCTCATCCCCAGAATCCTGTCTTCCCAGGATGGACCAGTTTTGGGGGCCGTGGGGAGCTTCAGCTGGTCTGGGGGTGCCTTCATATATCCCCCAAATATGAACCCCACCTTCATCAACATGTCTCAGGAGAATGTGGACATGAGGGACTCCTACCTGGGTGAGAAAAGGCTTGGGTTGTGGGGACAGGTGGGAGGTGAGCTCCGGGGAGGGCAGGAGCCGGGGGATAGGAGGGGGAGCCTTTGTGCTGAGGCCTAGCCCCTCAGGTTACTCCACCGAGCTGGCCCTTTGGAAGGGGGTGCAGAGCCTGGTCCTGGGGGCCCCCCGCCATGAGCACACCGGGAAGGTTGTCATCTTCACGCAGGCTTCTGGGCAATGGAGGCCGAAGGCTCAAGTCCTAGGGACCCAGGTCGGGTGTGGAGAACAGGAGGGTGGCAGGGTGTGCAGGGGTGGAGAGGGAGGACATGGAGGGGTTTGGGGCGCGCTGGGGGAGGTGGTGCGTGGGGAAAGGCAGAGCCTGGCCCGGGGGGGTGCCCCGCTGCCAGGCTGACAGGGTGACTTCAGGCTCTGCCCTCCAGATTGGCTCCTACTTCGGGGCCTCCCTCTGCTCGGTGGACGTGGACAGAGACGGCAGCTCCGACCTGGTCCTCATCGGGGCTCCCCATTACTACGAGCTGACCCGGGGGGGCCGGGTGTCTGTGTGCCCCTTGCCCCAGGGGGTGAGTGGCTGTTGAGACCTGGGCTGGTGGGGCCTGGGTGTGGGGTGGAGGGTTGCCCAGGTTGGGGACTGGCATGGGTTTTGCTCAGCAGAGGTCTAGGTGGCAGTGTGAGGCCATTCTCCGTGGGGAGCAAGGCCACCCCTGGGGGCGCTTTGGGACAGCCCTGACCGTGCTGGGGGACGTGAATGGGGACAAGCTGACGGACGTGGCCATCGGGGCCCCTGGAGAACAGGAGAACCAGGGTGCTGTCTACCTGTTTCATGGAACCTCAGGGCGGGGCATCAGCCCCTCCCACAGCCAGGTGAGGCCCGTCACTGTCCCTGTCACTACAACAGCGTTCTCCTTGCTTCTGTCTTCTACGCTGCCACCTAGAAAGTTCTGTTACCACATCTCGCCTCCCCTGCCCGCCACTGGGCATCTCATGGGCAGAACAACGTGTGTGGTGTGTAAGAAATGGAAGTGTTGACGGGCACATGCTCTACTTTGCACAGAGGCTTGATGCTTGAGTGGCTTCTCCACCCAGGGCGTGTAGCCCCCCAGCAGCTCTACAGGGTACACTGGCACCAGCAAGTTGTTTCTGAGGTGGCATCTGGGGCCTGGAGGCGAAACGTGACGGGACTTGTCTAAGGTTTATAGTGGGTCAGGGACAGTGACGAAGGCAGCGCCAGCCTCCTGGCTTCTGACCACGGCTCAGCCTCTTGGTGGCTCTCTGTTGCCAATTACTTTAGGTCTGGTTGCTCGGTCTGTCTGTCCACTCGCCCTTTCATCTCCCTGGATACTAAATGACTTCATTTTCTGCTGCCATCAGTAACCCTGCCCAAAGCCCATCTAGGTAGGAGCCTTCCCCCAGCGGGGCAGGCTGCCCTGAGCAGGGAGGGCTGCTTCTCTTGGCAAAGGTCAAGGAAACCCCAACGAAAACATAGCAAAGGCTCTGAGTAGATATTTCTCCATGGATGACATACAACAGACCAATACGCACACGAAAGGATGTTGAACACCATTAGTTGTCAGTGACCAGCAAATTAAAAGCACAGGGAGACACAGCGTCACACCCACTGGGATGCTGGAACAAGGATAGTGACCGAGCTGGTGAGGCCGCGGGGACTCCGGAGCCCGCACGCACCGCCGTTGGGATGTGACATGGTGCTGCCGCTCTGGGAGACAGTCTGGCGGTTCCCCCAAAGGGCCGACGTGGACTTATTGTATGCCCAGCAATTCCGCCCAAGAGAACTGAGAACATACGTTCACGCAGAAAGTTACACACGAATGTTCGTAGTGGTGTTATTCATGATAGCCAAAAGGTGGAAACAACCCAAATGTCCGTCGACTAATGAACAGGTAAATAAAATGTGCGGTAGCCATACAATGGAATATTGTTTGGCCATGAAAAGAAGTGAGGGACGGGTACATGTTACAATATGAGTAACCCTTGAGAACACTGTGCTGAGTGAGGGAAGCCAGACCCGGGCCGCAGATTGTGGGGTTCCATTTACATGAGCTCTCCAGAACAGGCAGACCCACTGTGACATAAACTGGATTCGTGCTTGTCAGGCTGGGGTGAAGGGAAGTGAGGGACATAGTGGTGACTGCTAAGGGTCTGGGGTTTCTTTTTGGGTTGATGAAAATGTTCCAAAATTGATTTGTTGGTGGTTGCATAACTCTGTGAGCATCCTAAAAGCCACTGAGTTGTGTACTTTCGAAGGGTAAATTGTATGGTATGCGAATTATATCTCAAAAAGTTGTTAAGAAAAAAAAGTCAAAGGAGATCCCTGAAGTCCTGTCACTTCCCAGCGAGGTGGTCTTGGTCATTACTCCCCTGTCTGTGCTGAGTTTCCTTATCTGTACACAGTGGTAATAATAACCACCCTTCCCAGGCTGCAGTGAGGGTTAAGTGAGTTAGTACACATATGTGTACCTGGCACATATATAGCACACATATCCATGTGTGCCTGGCATATAATAGGTGCTATAATCCATTACTGCTGATACAGTTTAACCACTGAAGGGGTTTTAAAAACTTGGAACTGTAAGAAAAGGGCGAAAGGTTTTGTTGAGAATCATGAGAGTCCACCTCTTGTCATGAAACTCCGTCTTTCTTCTTTAGTCATCATTACCCACCCCACCACCTCTTTTTGTTTTTGGTTAATCCTCGCCCTAGGATATTTTTTAAAACAGATTTTTAGAGAGAGAGATGGAGATCGATTGATTGCCTCCTGCACACACCCCGACCGAGGCTGGGGATTGAACCTGTAACCCAGGTACGTGCCCTTGACCAGTAGTCAAACCTGAGACTCTTTGGTGAGAGTCTTTTGGTGACTTTCTAACCAGAGCCACACCGGCCAGACCCGCCTCCTCTTTCTGGGCCTTCTTGGTGGCATCTTTTCATTATTCACCCCTTCTGCCTCCCACATTCCTACCTCCCCATTTCTCCTGTTGCTTATTTCCAGCTTGTTTCGCTCACCCCTAAATTGGCTTGCTTTTCCCTCTCTGGCCAGAGGATTGCAGGCTCCCAGTTCCCCCCCGGGCTCCAGCATTTTGGGCAGTCGCTGAGTGGGGGTCAGGACCTCACCATGGACGGACTTGCGGACCTGGCTGTGGGGGCCCAGGGGCACGCGCTGCTGCTCAGGTGAGAACAGCCTTCCCCACACTCTCCCCAGATGGTCCCTCGGTCTACCGAGGCCCATCTAGGACCAGTCCCCTCACCACCATCTCAGGTGGCCCTCCTGGGACCAAGGGCTTGACCTCAGCTCGGCATTCTGCCCACAGGACCAGACCCGTGCTCAGGGTGTGGGTGACTATCCGCCCAACGCTCACAGAGATTGGCAGGTCTGTGTTCGAGTGTCGGGAGCACACGTCCTCCGTCCAGGAACTGGGTGCTGCCGATATCTGTCTTCAGGTTCATGAAAGTTCCAGGAATCGGCTGGGTGAGTCCTCTCTGGCCCGGGACAACCTGATCCCTGGAGTCGTCCGGCGCAGGACGCCTGTCTCCTGCCTGGCCCTTTGCCCACCTGGGGAGTTCCTGATTCCCTCGGCCCTCTTATCCCCTCCTTTCCCCGCCAGGCAACCTCGAAAGCTCTGTGACCTTTGACTTGACCCTTGACCCTGGCCGCCTGAATCCCCGCGCTATCTTCAAGGAGACAAACACTCGGCACCTGACTCGTGACAGACTTCTTGGGCTAGGACAGCACTGTGAGAATGTGAAGTTGCTCCTCCCGGTGAGGGGGCTGCAGTGCTGGGATGGAGGTGGTTTTGAGGCTGGCAGTGGGCTGGGCAGGGAGGAATGAGGTGTGTCTGGCCTCACGCCAGCTCAGCCCGGCGTGGCAGCTTGCGTGCAGGAGGGCCTAACATTCGTTAGCCAGGTGAGTGATGGGGAGTGGGCGAGTGAGTGATAGACGGACTGGCCGCCACCGCCAGGACACACAGCTGCATTCCAGGAAGCGTGTGGCTGCTGCGGAGGACGGCGGAGCAGAGGGCTGGGGTTCTCGCACTGAGCTTTCTGACACAGACCTGCCCTGGGTGCCAGGGACACGGCGGGGACAGAACAGCCACGCCCGGAGGGAGTGCTTGGGACAGAGCAAAACCAATCAAGTTCCCAGATAACAGGGGTCAGGAAGTGATGAATGCTATGAAGACCGGGAAAGCCAGGGAGAGGACGGAGGCCTCTCTGTTTGAGAAGACCCTGAGCCTGTGGGCGGCTGGGGGAAGGGAGATCGAGGCGGAGGACAAGCACAGCAGAGGGTTCTCAGGGCGAGGTCTCCGCAATGAATGTTTAACAAGTGCAGGGAGGAATCACTGGTACCCCATTCTGCAGATGGGGAGACAGGACAGAGCAGGTGACTCTGAGGGTGCTTTCCTTAGCCACCTGCTCTCTTCAATGTCCACCTTCCAGGCTTGTGTGGAGGACTCGGTGACCCCTATCATCTTGAGTCTCAATTTCTCCCTGGTGGGCAAGCCCATCTCTTCTTTTGGAAACCTCCAGCCCATGCTGGCGACAGATGCTCTCAGATACTTCACAGCCTCTGTGAGTCCTGGTGTGGGGTCTTCAGGAGGGAGCAGAGGTGTGGACTCCAGACCCTGGAGAAAACCCCGCTTTGCCTTCCCTCTCAGATCCCCTTCGAGAAGAACTGTGGAGCCGACCATGTCTGCCAGGATGACCTTGGCATCTCCTTTCACTTCTCAGGGTGAGCGTCCACCTCCTTAGCCCTGCCCTGGTCTCCCAGTCAGAGTCCTGGGGCCTAGAGCTCCTGCCTGGCTCTCCCTAACATTTCTATCCTGTGCGCAGAAACCAGACATCCGGTCCCCCACGTCGTCCCCCACCTCTCCACTCTGTGTTTCATCCCCAGACCATTTCTAGCCCCAGTCACAGAATCATCTCCTGCCTTCTACCCCAACACCTAGCTTGAAGACCCTGGTGGTGGGGAGTAACCTGGAGCTGCACATGGAAGTGAAAGTGTGGAATGACGGCGAGGACTCCTACGGAACCACGGTCACCTTCTCCTACCCACCTGGGCTGTCTTATCGGCGTGTGGCAGTGAGCCAGGTATTATTCCTTCGGAGGAAGGAAGTGGCTAATGGCTGGGGATCCACAGAGCCTCCTGTGCTGGGTTCAAAGCTCAGACTGGGGCTTGTTCATGTTGTGTTCGAATCTAGGCATCACACTGACTATTAGAAATGAGCTCCCTGGAGGCTGCTGATGTGGAGAGAGGGGGACTCTGCCCCAGATTTCTTTGTATTCCACATCGTATCAATATTCTCCTTTTAAAGGAAAACATATCTTAGCCTTCAAATATTTTAAAACTCTGTCCTGTAGAAGAAGGAGTTAAATTTATTGGTTTTTCTAGATCAGGTCTTGGGATACCTTTTTCTATAAAGGGCTAGAAAAGAAATATTTCAACTTTGTGGACCATACAGTGTTAGTCACATCTACTGAGCTCTGCTTGTGTGTACAGTGAAAGCAGCCATTGACAATATGTAAGTGAATGAGCATGGCTGTGTGCCAATAAAACTTTATCTATACAAATTGGCGGTGGGCTATCATTTGGCAATACCTGTTCTAGAAGACAGAACTAGGACCATGGGAGTCAAAGTGAAACAGATTCTCAACAAAAATTTTATGGAAAATGTTAAACATTTACAAAAGTAGAGAGATCAACAAACCTCTCAAGAGCTTATCACCTAGGTTTGACAATTATCAACATTTTGCTACATTTTTTTTCATCTGCCCCCTCCCCTTTGTGAAGTATTTTAAGGTAAATCCCAGACAGGTCATGCCTCCCTATTTCATCCTATAACTCTGAACAGCCCCCACATCCTACATGACCCAGTGCCTTTTCACACCCAATGACATGAGTGATTCCTTGGTATTGAGACCGTAATGAAATTTCCTCAATTGTCTGAAAAATATCTTTTTACACTTGATTTCTTTGAACCAGCATCTAAAGTAGGTCTACACATTACGTTGGTTGGTTGGTCTCTATGTCTCTCCTAGGCTGGTGTTCCCAATGGGGTTATATTTTGATTCGCATTTGAAGGAATGCACTAGAAATGGCAAGACCCGGCTGCGTGAGGGACAAGTGCCCATCATTCAAAGTACTAGACACACCAACCAAATGCAATATATGCACCTCTGTTGGATATTTATTTTTAAAATGAGCTATAAAATAACATTTTGGAGACAATCTAGGAAGACTAACATGACCTGGATATTAACTGATATTAAGGAGTTATTGCTAATTTTGCTGGGCGTGATTTGTTGCGTGTCGTGATTATGTTAAAATATACCCTTATCTGTTGGTGGTGTACATTGAAGTATTTCTGGATAAAACAATGTGATATTTGAAATGTGCTTTAAATTATAAAAAAAAAAAAGTAAAGAGCAGCTAAATAAAACAAAAGTAGAAAAATGTTGGTAATTTAAGCTGAGTGTAGGGTGCGTGGGGCTCAATTTATCTAGTCTCTCTAGTTTTGAGTATGTCCAAAAATTTCCATAGTAGAAAGCCTTTAAAAAATAACAATAAATAGCCCTGGCCAGTTTGGCTCAACAGTTAGACTGTTGGCCTGTGGACCAAAGAGTCTTGGGGTTGATTCTGGTCAAGGGCATGTACCTAGGTTGCGATTCGATACCTGGCCCTGGTTGGGTCATGCAGGAGGCAGCCAGTCGATGTGTCTCTCTCATATCACTGTTTCTCTCCTCTCTCTCTCTCTCTCTCTCTCTCTCTCTTTCTCTCTCTCTTCCTCCTCCCTCCCTCCCACTCTATCTGAAAATCAATGAGAAAAAAAATCCTCATGTGAGGATTAAAAAATATAATAACAACAATAAATAAAAAAAGGGGAAATTTGAATAAATCTGGGATTTCTACATTAGGAAGCAATTTGACCAGATAGTGTATAAGGATTTTTTCAAAGACAGAGCCTTAGGGTTCATTCCAGGGAACTGTCACTACTTATGGAGTCTCACTGGAACCCTAACAAATGCTCACTTGTCCTGGTTTAGAGCCAGCTGCTGTCACGGTCCCTGCACCTGACCTGTGACAGCGCCTCAGCTGAGAGCCAGGACACCTGGAGCACCCGCTGCAGCATCAAACATATCATCTTCCGAGAGGGTGCCCAGGTCAGCTCTGCCACCTACCTCCCTGCCCCACCCAGTCTCACTGCTCCATGACCTCCCCGCCTCCAACCCCCATGCCTGTCTCTTTCTCAGATCACCTTCGTGGCCACCTTTGACGTCTCCCCCAAGGCCATGCTGGGAAACCAGCTGCTTCTGAGGGCTAATGTGAGCAGGTGAGCCGGGCAGCGCCCCCTTGCGCCCAGCCTCCTCTTCAGGGCAGCGCCCCCTTGCGCCCAGCCTCCTCTTCAGGACCACTTGCCAATGGCTTCTCCTTTTTCTCCAGTGAGAATAACACCCCCAAGAGCAGCAAGACCACCTTCAAGCTGGAGCTCCCAGTGAAGTATGCTGTCTACACTGTGATCAGCAGGTACCACAACAAGACCTGAAAAGGTCTTTGCCATCACTCTGATGGGGCTTGGGGAGCTTCTCAGTCCCTGCACACACTGAACACCTGGGATGTTTTATCACTACCCTTCCAATCACTGGGTGATAACTGCTAGTAGCACTTACTAATCAATCACTGAATGTTTTCTGTGGGCTAGCTATAACAATAAGTGTGGTATTATCATTGCATTTTACATTTAATAGAGGTTACAGTTCTTAGAAGGCTTTCTCCAAAGCCCCAAGATTGTCCTGGGTTCCATAAGAGATATGAGATATGTCTCTGTCTCCCAGGGTCTCACAGCCTCATAGGGGAGTAAGGTTAACCTGATCTAAAGCAGAATCTTATTAAGGCCTCTCTGGGGTTCTGTAGCCCAAGGTTACGTGCATTTCCAAGAGTGGGTAGGGCCTCCTGTCAGAAGAGGACTCAGCTAAACATTGAAGGGTCCTGTGGCATTGGCCGTGGCCCTTGGCAATTGAGTGGGACAACTCTTCATTGCAAGGAACAGATTTACAGCTCACAGGACTTTTAGAGTTGCTCCTCCTCCTTTCCCCGGGCCCCTTTGGGAAGGAGAGGAAGAAATACCCTGCCTGCTTCAGAGGCAAGGAATCAGGGAAAAGCTTCACATGTAGTCCAAGGAGGGGTAGATGAGGCATTTGAAACAAAGAGCCAAGTGTTTGGGCAGATACCTTCCTAGCATTTACTATGTTTCAGGCACAGTGATGTGGCTGCTTTCCATACACTCATCAGACTTCAACAAACATTTATGGAGCCTCTGTTGTGTGCAATCAAACCCAGACATAAACCCCTGCCCTTGTGGAATGCATGCATTTGTGATACGTAGCGGTCCCATGTGGCTTAGCCTGGGTCCATTCCCCTGCTACTTCCACCTATGTGCCTCGCTGGATGTCCTCCTGCCCAGAGCTTCCCACTGTCATTTACACCGCACACTGGGGCTCTCAGCAGCCCAGCCAGTTGCATGTTCTGAGCTTGATGGCTGGAGCATGCACTGAGGTTAGCACACCTTGCAGGGCAGAAAAGGCAGGACACACCATATCTAGGCATGTGTGGCCCTACAGCTCAGCTGTCCTCTGCAGGTGTAACTCTGTAGGAAGGGGCACTCAAAGGGGCCCCCGGGATGAGACTGGGACACTTTGGGGAAGGCCCTTGGCAGAGCAAGGATGCAACATCAGGATAGGAGCAGTAGTCTAGAATTTAGACTGTGCAGGCAAAGGACAGGTACCCAAGGAGCAGGGAGGGACAGAGATGGGACAGCCCCCCATATGAGGGGCCAGGTTGGCCACTGGGGCTCCAGGGCCTCGGCAGGCCTGGGGAGGTGTTGCTGCGTGGAGATGCAGTCAGAGTCTACTGTGGGCTCTCCTCCACTTCTGAGACCCAGGCCGAGGAAACAGGAGAGAAGGGCCCCACCGAAGACCTGCAGGAGTGCAGACAGAAGCAGCGACCAGTAGATACTTGTCAACAGTGTCAGCCTGAGTCTCCCCGATTTTGGCTGTGTCCCACATGCCCTTCCAGCACCCTCCGTGCCATGAAGGGCTGGAAGCAGCAGCGAGGCACAGAGGGGCCTGGCCTCCGCTCCGCCAGGCAGTCGGTGGCACACACTCAATCCCCTCCACGGCACCCCTGCCCAGCCCCACTTTGGCAGTTCCTCTGGGCAGCTTCTGCAAGCATCCAGCTCAACGCCCAGCCCTGCTCCCTAAACCTTCCCACTACCCCAAGTCAGCCACAGACCTCATTCCGGGATACCCCAAGGCCCCACTGAGCATCCTCAGGAGGTCCCCCTGGAACTCCAGATCCACCCACGCTGTTCTCTCCCTAGCCATGAGGAATCCACCAAGTACCTCAACTTCTCGGCCTCCGAGGAGGGAAGCAGCCTGGTCCAGCACAGATACCAGGTGAGCGATGGCGACTCCAGACGGGCTGGTGGCCCGGGAGCTGGAGGTGAGGGCAGGGTGTGGGCTCTGCTGCGGCCTCTGCCCTCACTGTCCTCTGCGCAGGCGAACAACCTGGGGCAGAGGGACCTGCCTGTCAGCATCAGCTTCTTGGTGCCTGTGGAGCTGAACCAGGTGTCTGTGTGGACAGGGCTGGAGATCTCCCACCCCCAGGTACTCGAGGACTGTGTAGCTCCTCCACGGATGCCCTTTATCCTGACTTCCTGTGTCCCTCATGGGTCTCCGATGTCCCCACTGAGATGCTCGCTCTCTTTGTTTTCCCAGAACTCATCTATTCATTGCTCTTCAGAGAGGATAGCGCCCACAGAGTCCAACTTCCGGACCTTCATCCAGAAGAATTCTGTTCTGGTGAGGAGGACTCTGGCTGTCCCCCATTCTAAGCCGCACATCAGAGGCATTTGATTCAGGAATCCAAGTGACATCAGATGTCTGCTGAACAGCTCTCCTGAATTCAGATGTGGCTGCTCCCCTTAAATCAGACGGTTTAATGCTGTCTTCTGCCTTCAAACCCATCTCTCTCTCTGGGCTGATGCTGCTTCTCTGTCCCCAGAACTGCTCCATTGCTGACTGCCAGAGGTTCCGCTGTGACATCCCCTCCTTTGGCATCCAGGAGGAACTTGACTTCATCCTGAAGGGCAACCTCAGCTTCCGCTGGGTCAGCCAGGTGTGTAGGCCCAACGGCAGGGCCCTGTCTCAGGCGCAGGTGGTACCTGAGGTCTGTGCCCATCCTCAATCAAGCTAGGACATTTCTGTGACTGAGCTTCCCCGGAGCTCGCTCCCAGCTCTCCTGCTCCTCTTTGCAGACACTGCAGAAGAAGGTGCTGGTCGTGACTGTGGCTGAAATCACGTTCAGCAGATCTGTGTATTCCCAGCTTCCGGGACAGGAGGCGTTTTTGAGAGCTCAGGTAGTGACTGTGTGGTAGGCAGTAGGCAGGTTGGGGAGAGGGCTTCTGACGCTGAATCTGTGATGCTGGGTGGGGGGCTCACAAGCCCGGGGGAGGAAGGACGAAGATCCCTGAATGGGACAGCGGTCCCTAAACCCATGATTGCTTCTGTTTCTCCCCCTTGGGGTTGGCCTGGGGAAGCAGGGGAGGGAGTTAAAGACTGGAGAAGCCGGGTAGAGTCTGAGACAGCCAGAGGTGTGATATTTCTGACCCCCAAATCAGATGGAGATGGTGGTGGAAGAGAACGAGGTCTACGATCCCGTCCCCCTCATTGCGGGCAGCTCTGTGGGCGGGCTGTTGCTGCTGGCGCTCATCACAGCCGTCCTGTACAAGGTGAGTGTCCCTCCCACACCGGACACCACCAGCATTTGATCCCACTATTTACAGTGAAGAAGCAGCTCACCGTAGAGTTGGTCACACGTGCTCGCTAAGTCACTGCATGTGGGAGATGCTCTCCCAGCTATGGCTCGGCGGTCCCCCGCTGAGCGCCGTGTTTGTGCCTCTCCGTCTGCTTCTCAGGCCTCCTCGTCTCTCTCCCGTTCTTCCCCACTCTTCCCTGCTCTACATGTTTCCCTTGTCAGCAAATTATAACATAAAAAACACCACCCTGAATTCTATGTGGACACCACCACCGATTACTTCCGGGACTGCAGGCAAGTGCTTGGTCACACTGGGTCTTGGTTTCTCATTCTGAAGGTAATTCTACCCAGTGCACAGAACTGGTCCAGTCTAAGCGCCACAGTGTGTATCAAGTTACCCCTGCACTGCTCGAACATACAAGGGTTCCAGAAAGGTCCTTCCCCTTCCCCGTCATCTCTTTTCCTCTCTTCCACTGGACTTCTTGATTTTCCTCTCCTTCCTGCCCTACAGGTTGGCTTCTTCAAACGTCAGTACAAGGACATGATGGACGAAGCAAATGGACAAACTGCCCCAGAAAATGAAACATCAGACCCCCAGGCTGGTCAATAAGAAACAACCTCCTGCCCTGGCTGGTTTGGCTCAGCGGTTGGAGCATCAGCTTGCGGACCAGAGAGTCCCGGGTTCGGTTCCCACTAAGGGCACGTACCTCGGTTGCAGTTTGTCCCCGGCCCCAGTTGGGGTCATGTGGGTGGCAACCACTCGATGTGTCTCTCTCACATCGATGTTTCTCTCTCTCTCTTCCTCCCTCTCTCTCCCACTCTCTTTAAAGATAAATGCAAAAACAAAAAAAAAACAAAAACAAAACCCGAAAACGTCCTAGAGTGAGGATAAAAATATAAAAAACGACCTCCTGCTCTCCTCTGTTCCTGCTGTGCCCTGAGGGGTTTCCTGGCCCTTTTACCCTCACCCAAGGCAGGCTGGAGGGGAACACGCGTTCCGCAAGGGAGGCTGGGGTCAGGCTGCTTTCTCCCTTTGGGAGCGCGCAGCTTATTGGTGCAATGTGCTTGCCTGGGAAGGACCATTTGTCCTGTCAAGGCTCCACCTGGAAACACCAGGACAGGCCCCTGCCATGCCCCCTGATTTCTACCTACATATACACGGACGGCAGTCTCAGGCTCCATTCTCCTTTCTTCCACTAGCCGCCAGTGAACAAGCCGCTCATTCTCGCCCAGCTTCAGTGGCTCCCCATCAATCACAGGATAACATTTGAGTTGTTCAGCTGCATGTTAGGAATCCAGTTCCATTTCCAGGAGATGGGCGTTGGAGCACACCGCATGTGGTGCTCCGTGCCTACCTGTCATCCTCATTTCTAGTAAGACACTGTCAGCCTCAGCTCCTGGAATCTCAGGCTGGATTTCCCAAACGAAGTTGGGAATGAAATGCCTTCGCATTAGACTTTGTACACTTGGCTTCCAGCACTGGTTGGCATTGCTGACCATGAGGGAAGAGTGGCCCCCTCCCCCAGGAGGGGCATGGCCCCCAGTGCCACTTTGGCTCAGCCAGCTTCAGGGTCTCTCAGAGATTAATAGAGACTCAGGCCACTTCACTTGTTGAGGCTCTAAAGAGGAATAAATGCCAGAACCTAATTATGAACATTGCACATTTTAAATATTTGCATTAATGCCCTGGCTTGTTTGGCTCAGCAGTTAGAGCATTGGCCCGTGGACCTAAAGGTCACAGGTTTGATTCCCAGTCAGGGGCACGTACCTGGGTTGCAGGTTCAATCCCTGGCCCTGGTAGGGTTTATTTAGGAGGCAACAAATCCGATGTGTCTCTCTCACATCAATGTTTCTCTCTCTCTCCCTCTCTTCATTCCACTCTATTTAAAACAAATCAATGAAAAAGTATTAACAACAACAACAAAAAGACCCCAAAACAACAACAACAAAAAAACCCCCAAATAAATATTTGCATTAAAAATTTAACACTCTGCACAAAAAGATGTATGCACCTTTATTGGGAAACATGTCAAAAGTCTAAAATAAATGTCTTTTATGGATGTGGAAATGGTGCCATGGTACATCGTAATCAGAGTAGACCCTGGCCAGCCCTGAGGCCTGGGGTCAGGACAAGACAGTTAAGCAGATTAGGGGTTATAAACATCTCTTATTGGGGGTAACCTGATCTCCTAATCTTCATTCTCATGGATGTCATTGTGGGGGAGGGGGTGGCAAGGAGAAGACATTGCCCTCAGTGGCTGCTCTTCTGTCTAGAAAGGTCATTGAAGTGAATCAATGCACAGATGTTCTTTGCACATCTTGAGATGTGCTGACACTGTTCGCTTATGGTTAGTGATTGGAGAGCACTTTGAAGGCCTGTGTCAGGGACCAGCTTCCTCCAATGAGGTCATTCTTATTATTATGCCACTCAGCATGAAGCTCAGAGTGGTTCCTGTCACTGAGCTGGGAGTCAACACACCCCTGTGATCCCATGCCACTGACACCACAAGGGTGCTCAGGCCATGTGGATGTTTTAATTAGAAAAAAAGAAGGGGGAAGCAGTTGATCATGTGATTTGAGGGAATGCTGGGAAGTGGCCCTCTACCTCCACTCAACAATATCTCCCCCATCCACCAGCTTAGGATCCAAACTCCTTTTTTAAAAAATTATTTATTTTATTTTATTTATTTATTTTTTTGTTCCAGATGTTTCTCCTATTCCCCCCATTGACACCCTTCTCTCAATCCCACCCCTCCCCCAGTATTGTTATTTATATCCATGGTTACTCATACATGCATATAAGTTCTGTGGTTTATCTCTTCCCTCCCCACCCCAGTCCCCTCTTCTGAGGTTTGTCAGTCTGAACCATACTCCTTTCTATGTCTCTGGGTCCATTTTTTTTTTATCCTCACCTGAGAACAATTTTCCATTTTTTGTTCAGATAGAGTGGGAGGGAGAAAGGAAGAGAGAGAGAGAAACATCGAGGTGAAAGGGACACATCAAGTGGTTGCCTCATGCACAACCCAACCAGGGCCAGGGACAAACTGCAACCAAGGTACGTGCTCTTAGCAGGAACTGAACTCAGGACTCTGGTACGCAGGCAGATGCTCTAATCACTGAGCCAAACTAGCCAGGGCAGACCTGGAAATTCTTTACATGGCCATCAATTCTAAATGACAGCATTGCAGGATAGAGTAATCTTGGTTGTAAGTCCTTGCTTTTCATCACTTTAAATATTTCTTGCCACTCCCTTCCGGCTTGCAAAGTTTTTTTTTGAGAAATCGGCTGACAGCCTTATGGGAGCTCCATTGTAGGTAACTAACTGCTTTTAAAATTTTTTTCTTTGTCTTTAACCTTTTGCATTTTGATGATGATGTGCCTTTCTATGGACCTCTTTGGGTTTATCTTGTTTGGGACTCTCTGTGCTTCCTGGACTTGTATATCTGTTTCCTTCACCAAGTTAGGGAAGTTTTCTGTCATTATTTTTCAAATAGGTTTTCAATTTCTTGCCCTCTCTCTTCTCCTTCTGGTACTACCATGATGCAAATGTTGGTACGCTTGCAATTGTCCCACAGGCTCCTTATACTATCCTCATTTTTTGGATTCTTTTTTCTTTTTGCTGTTCTGATTGGGTGTTTTTTGCTTCTTTATATTCCAAATCGAGGGCTTGCTTCTTGACTTCACCTACTCTACTATTGATTCCCTGTAAGTTATTCTTTATTTCAGTTAGTGCATCCTTCATTTCGAACTGGTCATTTATTATGCTCTTGAGATCCTCAAAATTCCTTGACCGTCTCTTAAAATTCTCACTAAGTTCACTGAGCATCCTTATAAGCAGTGTTTTGAACTACTTATAAGCATCTTATTGATTGCTTATCTCCATTTCATTTAGTTCTTTTCCTGGAGTTTTGTTCTGTTTTGTGTTTTTTTTTTTCATTTGGGACATGTTTCTTTGTCTCCTCATTTTGGCTGCTTCCCTGTGTTTGTTTCTATGTATTAGGTAGAGTTGCTATGTCTCCTAGTCTTCCTAGGGTGGCCTATTTTAGTAGGTGTCCTGCAGGGAGCAGTGGCACAGCCTCCTTGATCAGCCCAGCTGGGTGCTTGAGGTGCACCCCTTGTGTAAGTTTTATACCCTTCTGTTGTAATTGAGTCTTGATTACTGTTGGGATGTCAGTGGGAGGGATTGACTCAGGCTGATCAGCTGCAAGGACTGGCTGTGCCCACTGACCACTGGCCTCTGACTGCCTTGGAGGATCAGCTGTGTAGGGGCCCACCACACAGAGCAAGACTTACTTCAGCAGAGCTCTGATACTCACTGAGTCCACTCATTGAGTGTGTCACTTGAGGAGGGGGTTAGGTGGTGGTGCTTTGACGTGGTCTGCATCTGTCTACTGGGTGTGCTGGCTCTGGGCCAAGGTCACTGCTGTGCTCTACCTGGAACCACCAGGCATAAGCTACAAAGTGATCTGCCAATGGCTGCCTCTTGTGCTGGGCTTGGAGGTACCCAGGAAAAGCCAAGTTGTGAGCCAAGGCTGGCTGCTTCTAGTGCCTGGCCTGGGGCCACTTAGTGAGAGGTATGGGGCTTGTTGTGGCCAAATGCTACTTGTTTGAGAGAATTTAGGAAAATCTAAAGCAGGAGCCAAAACAGGCCAATCCTATGGTAAAGTCACTGGAAACTGCTTGGATGGGCCCAAAAGTTGGGTGGGGCAAGGCCTCAGCAAATCAACAGGGCAGGGCAAACAGTGTGAGTCAGGTTGCTGGAGTCCCAGATATAGTGCCCATCTGCTGGCCCCATGGGGGAAGGGCTCACCAAAGGAACAACGGCCTCCGCCAGCAGGTCTGTCTGGGGGAGAAAGCTGTCTCTTTAGCCCTTTCCCCAATGCCAAACAACTCAGTTCTTCCCCCTATATCTCTGGTGCCTTTCAAGCTTGCTCCCCAATGCTGGAGCCCAGAAGGAGTAAGTTTGAGTAAGTCCATGTGTGGGTCCTTTAAGAGGAACTGCCTGGGGCTCTAGTAGCCTCAGCCTCCCTCAGCCTCAGTTTCCACTGGTTTTACAGCCAGAAGCTATGAGGACTTCTCTTCCTGGCACTGGAACCCTGAGCTGGGAGCCTGGTGTGGGACAGGGACCCCTTGCTCCTCAGGAATGATCTTCACAGCCGAGGTGTCCCTCCTGATTTTTATCCGCCACATGTCAGTGTGGGACCAGTCCCTCCATGCCTCTGTCCCTCCTACCAATCTCAATGTGGCTTTAATTTTGTAGTTGTAGGACTTCCATTCAGCTCAATTTCAGGCAGTTCTGAAGGATATTTGTTCTGTAGTTTAGTTGTAATTATACTGTGGTTGTAGGAGGAAGTTTTCCTACACTGCCATCTTGACCGGAAGTCCCAAATGTCTTTCAACAAATCTTAACCCCACAGAGTTTATTTATGATAGTTCACTCCTGAGCTTCCCATGGTCCAAGTCATAGCTTCAATCCCTTTAAAACATCTCAACTGTCAGTGCAAAGGGTTAACGGCCAGGGCTATTCAGTGATCACCAGCCAAACCACCAGCCCACTGTCTGCTATGGTTTGTTCCTGTTTCATTCCAGATGGTGTCAGTGTTGGGCTGAATAGCTACTGCCATCCCATGTGGCTTGGTTGCCCTGACCAGACCCACCTGTGTACAAGCCTCAGCAGGCATTTCCCATCATACCCTCTCTATAGG